GAGGGCGTGGCACCATCAGCCTCCTTCCGCTCACCGGCGAGAAGGGTGCTGCTGAGTCCGAGCGGGAAGGAGTGGTGATGTCTGAGGTCAGGCTGGCTGCTTTCTGACACGCAAGGCTCCCTCGGGCGGGGCTGTACCGCCCGTGACCGTGGGGAGGAGACCCACGTGGCGTTCAGGAATGGCTTCAGTTTCACGTCAGATTCATCTTCAGTTAGAACCGAGTAAAATTAAATCGTCCTCACCAAAAAGGAAAACAGACATATGGCCTGATCCCACTTTAATGACAGGGTTTCTCTCTGTGAAAACGCAGGGATCTGTCTAGGCGGCTGCTACGCCCGAAATGTCACCGGCGGTTATATTTGAAGGAGGAGGCTTGAGGCAATATTTTTATTTCCTTTTGGTCCTCTGCGCTGCTGCAGAGCTTCAGCGTGGGGTGTGCAAGAGGCAGCCAAGCAGTGATTCTCTCTCATCATTGATGTTTCTCTCTCTCTCTCTCTCTCTCTCTCTCTCTCTCTCCCCCTCTCCCTTCCTCTCTGAAATCAATAAAATATATATTAAAAAAAATTAGCAAGTACAAACACCACCCGCCCAGTTAAAGTTGAACGTCAGGTAAACAACAAAAATGTTGGTCTACGTATGTCGCACACAGGCACGGGGACGTACTTCTGCTAAAGAAGCACCCGTTGTTGGTGTGATGCTCGGACGTAACTGGGCATTGTGAGGTGGGTTTTCCAGTCTTGTTTTCGTTTTTTAAGCTGCTCACCCAAACTTCCCCAGCCTGGCCGGCCTCGGACGCGATGAGCTTGCTTAAAAATGACGCTGTCTCCGGCCTGCACATCTCCCGACGCAGGACCAGACACTACCGTCCGAGGGATCCAGGGAGCTGCCGCTTCTCTGCTGTTGGGTTTCGGGTTCGGTGCCCACTGCCCCTCGGCCACAGGGGGGCAGCGATCCCCTGGCTGAACCCACCCCCACCCCCAGCAGGCGCGCGGAGACTGTGCCTCGGCGCCCTCTGCCGGCGGCTCCTGCCTGCACAGGCGGGGGAGGCCCAGGGCGCGGGCTCCAGGACCCGCCAGGCCCTCTCCTCCCACCTCTCCCCTGCCCAGCCTCTGCCCTCACCGCTCACCTCCTCCCACCTCGCACCAGGGGAACCCCCCCTCCTCTCTGATTCCTTCCTCACACCAAACGCTCAGCCTGGCTCCGCGCTGACCAATGTGGGGGAGAGGGGGCTCCTCCAAGCGGCCGAGCCCACAGTTCCCGGGGCACAGCCAGCGCCCTCCTGCCCCATCACCCACGCCATCCAGGTCCCCCACTGGAGTGCCCTGAGCTCGTGCCCATGTGAAGCTGCTGCTAAGCCCTGGCATTGCCTTGGCCAGTCTGCAGTGGCTCCTTTTTTTAAAATATATTTTTACTGATTTCTGAGAGGAAGGAAGAGGGAGAGAGATAGAAACATCAATGATGAGAGAGAATCATTGATCAGCTGCCTCCTGCACACCCACTACTGGGGATCGAGCCCGCAGCCTGGGCATGTGCCCTTGACCGGACTCGAACCGGGGACCTTTCGGTCTGCAGATTGACGCTCTATCCACTGAGCCAAACCAGCTGGGGCTGCAGTGGCAGCTTTTAAGAGAGGGTGGCTTGTCCTGGCCAGGGTGGCTAAGTGGATGGAGCCTTGGCCCGCAGGCTGAAGGGTCTGAGGTTGGATTCCGGTTAAGGGCAGGGACCTCGGTTGCAGGCTGGATCCCGGAGAGCGGGAGGCAACCACCCGCTGTGTCTCTCTCACAGCAACGTGTCTCTCTCTCTCCTCCGCCCTTCCACTGTCTAGAAAGATCAATGGGAAAATACACTCGGGTGGGAGTGAATAAAAACTACAATAAAATCTTGTTTAAAAAAAGAGAGGGGCTTGCTTATT